AAAAAAAAAAAAAAAAAAAATTAACTTGGCTAATAAATTGAATTGCCTAGTATCACACAAATACTATGGCATGTTTTGTAATCAGTTCATTCATTTATTCAATAAATATTATTACCAGGCTCAGTTTAGGCACTAGGGATGAACTACAGTGAACTGCAATGAACTCCATTCCCTGGCCACAATCTGCTACCCCTGCAGGTAGAGCATGCTCTCAAGTGGCTGCTGTCTCTAGTTGCCCCACTTCACTCATTTCTGTTTAATACCTGACCCCTATTCTAAAGGGTCTGGGTTTTTTTGTTTTTTTTTTTTAAGAGACAGAATCTCACTTTATTGCCCTTGGTAGAGTGCTGTGGAGTCACAACTCATAGCAACCTCCAGCTCCTGGGCTTAGGCGATTCTCCTGCCTCAGCCCCCCAAGTAGCTGGGACTACAGGCGCCTGCCACAACACCCAGCTATTTTTTGTTGCAGTTTGGCCGGGGCTGGGTTTGAACCCGCCACTCTTGGTATATGGGGCTGGCGCCCTACTCACTGAGCCACAGGTGCAGCCCTGTTCTAAAGGTTCTGAAGACTAAATTTATTCTTTAATTAAAAGAATCTTAAGCCAAGGTTTCTGTATAAAAGAAAAAATGCTATTGTAATTGTTTAGAATTTGTCGAATAAATCTCTCCTTCCTCACTTCCTTTTGCCTGCCTGCCTTCTTTCCTCCTTCCTTTCTTCCGCCCTGCCTCTCCCCCTCCCTCCCTCCCTTCCTTCCTGTTTTCCTCCCTCCTATTTTGCCTCCCTTCCTCCTTTCTTCTTTCAGCAACATGGTAGAAACAGCATGGGCTTTGAAGTCAGAGAAACCTGGCCTACTGGTTCTCTTATCTTGGGCATGTTACTTAACTTTGCCAAGTGTCAATTTCCTCATTTAAAAATTGTGAATAATTATGTACTAGTTTTACTCACAGTCTTAAGATATAGCAGTATAGGATCTTATTTTAAGAAAAATAATGAAATCACTAGCCATTAAAGAACTTGAGACTTATGGGAGAAATGGGAATATAACTTGGGTCAGAAATAGAGCTATAAATATCCTTATAAATATGTTTGTGTCTGCTTAGATAAAATGATAAAGACCACACACAAATGTATGTATTAAATAATAAGTATTATATTCTACTAATTTCTATTTATCATCCTTTACTTGCTACAAACTTCTAGATCTTTTCCATTAGGAGTTGAGGTAATCTCACTGTAAATTTGTTTTGCTTTTTTCATAACTAATACATATTCTAAGAGTCCTGGTTTTTTTCCACATCTGATCTTCATCCAGATGTGCAATTTCTGTGTGACTTGGACTTTCTAAGTGTCCAACATTTCCCACCTGATTTTTTCTACCTCTCTAGTCCTTTCAGATCCCAGAGACATAGAGCAGTTTGGATTTTTGATATGGAAAAAGCTTTGTCTGACACTGTTTAACCAACTCAGCTTGTTGTCAACTTCTCTGATACCTAAGGTCATTATCTCCAATTTCTCTGTATCAGTTCCACTAGAATATATTCCTAAGACCTCAGTGCACTCTCCTTCGTCTTTTTCTTGCTTTGGAGAGGCATAATTGTAAAATCTCCTCTTATTCTTCTGTCATCTACTTTACCTCCATTTTCTTAATTCTCTCTTGTTCTGATTATCCTCAATAGAAGTACTTTGCATTGTACATATGCTGAAACCAAAATCCACAAAGTAGTCTAAAAAAGTGTCTGGAAGTAATTTTCCTTATATTTAGCTTTCCCATTTCTTAGAAGGAAGGAAACCCTCACAAGTTCTCTTAAGCAGAAAGAGAACTAATGGTACATAGCTACTTCAGTAGTTAACAAACAAGCATGTATGTGATATTTATGGTTTATGTTGTTGAACCTTTAGGACAGATAGGCCCAGCAGGACTGTAAAAATAAATCAATGAAGCCAGACTTAGCAGGGCACACCTATAGTCACAGCTACTTAGAAAGCTAAGGTAGGACGATTGCTTGAGCCAGGAGTTTGGGCAGCATAGTGAAACCTTATCAAAAAAAAAAGGAACGTAAAGAAAGAAAAAAGTCAATGAAACAGCACAAAGGAAGTATGACATCATCTGATTCTTCTAAACTCATCAATCAGTAGTGCTCTGAAGAGGAAAACTTAAGAATGCCATCCCAGGCTCGGCACCCATAACTCAGTGAGTAAGGCACCAGCCCCATACACCAGGGCTGGCAGGTTCAAGCCCTGTCCAGACCTGCTAAACAACAACGACAACTACAAAAAGAAAAATAGTCAGGTGTTATGACAGGCACCTGTAGTCCCAGCTACTCAGGAGGCTGAGGCAAGAGAATCGCTTAAGCCCAGGAATTTGAGGTTGCTGTGAGCGGTGACACCATGGCACTCTATCCAGGGTGACATAGTGAGACTCTGTCTCAAAAACAAACAAACAAAAAATGCAATCCCCAAAATTCACTTGTAAAAATGACCACCTGGTAGCTTGCTTCTCTCTTTCTCTGGTATTCCAGGAAATCCACATACCTCCTAAACAGAAGTGGGAATCTTTATAAAAAGACATATTCTTACAACCTGAATGGATAGGGAATATGTTTCTACTCAAATTTACAGGTGGAGGTACTCACCATTATGGAAGGATAGTCCTATTCCTAGTTCTTTGGTCAAATGAATTACATATAAGTATGTAAAGCACCGGGATAGCATAGTGTCTGGCACATAGTAAGTACTTGTGAAATATTAGTTCTCTTCTTTTTCTATTTTAACAATTATACTTTCTTCCTCCCAGGATTTGGATGTAGCTTTGCCCATTATCGAGAAATACAAAGATCAGCTGTTGGCAATTGGCGAGGTAAATTCCCATTACCTGGGCAACTTCTAATCCAGACCTCCATAAGATAATGACCTCCATATAACAGTAAATCTTTAGTTCCGTATTGATGATTATAACTGACTTGGATAATTATATTCACTTCATTCAGCTGAATAATAATTTGTTGCTACTTCCTTAATAAGCAAGAGAGCTTGGGGATGAAACAATAGAAAGCCTTATGATAGGCTTATCTTAATGAGAGAAAACGAATAGCATTTCTTTTTTTTTTAATTTTTTTTGAGGCAGAGTCTCAAGCTGTCGCCCTGAGTAGGGTGCTATGGCATCACAGCTCACAGCAACCTCCAACTCCTCGGTTTAAGCGATTCTCTTGCCTCAGCCTCCCAAGTAGCTGGGACTATAGGTGCCCACCACAACGCCCGGTTATTTTTTGCTTATAATTGTCATTGTTGTTTGGCAGGCCCGGGCTGGATTCGAACCTGCCAGTTCTGGTATATGTGGCTGGTACCTTAGCTACTTGAGCTACAGGCACTGAGCCCAAATAGCATTTCTAAATACTTTTTTTTCCTTTTTGCTTAAATATGAGTCTTTCTTCTAGTGAGTTAAAAGAATATATATAATTCCTCATAAGTAACTTAGAAATATGCTTTATACAGGCTAGGGTTTATAATTAAAGGACGTATTTTGCTTAAATAATTTATAATTATGAAATATGTATATTACTTGGTAATAAATTCCAAGATAAGAGATAAGAATAACACTTAAATTCAGAATATAGATTATAGAATGTTTGCCAAAATACTGTTAAAGGAAGCAGTCATCTGTAATCTGTGCTGTCCAATGAAGTGGCCACATGCAGCTGTTGAACACTTGAAATGCGATTGCTCTGAATTGAGATGTCCTGTAAGTGTAAAATACACTGTGGATTTCAAAAAAAAAAGTAAAATAACTCAACTTTTTATATTGATTACATGTTTAAATAATAATATGTTGGATATACTGGATTAAATAAGGTTAAATAAATTATATTAATGAAATTAATTCCACCTGTTTTTGTTAACATTTTAGTGTGGCTACTAGAATCAATTATTAAGATTTTTATGTGGCTCACATTATATTTTTGTTGGATAGCACTGATTCATATTATCTTTTGCGGGGTTCATTAAACCATGAGTAGGTAATATCTTTTGTTTTTCTTTATAGGTTGGACTAGATTTCTCCCCTAGATTTGCTGGCACTGATGAGCAGAAGGAAGAGCAAAGACAAGTCCTAATCAGACAGGTCCAATTAGCCAAAAGACTAAATTTGCCTTTGTAGGTTAATTATCTTTTTATGTTAGTAGCTATAGAGTAAATTAAATGATAATCAGAATCCTCCTGAAATGGAGGTCTCTGTATTTCATCTGAATTACTTTAATAGAACAAAAATAATACTTTCACATGGGTACTTAAAAGGAAATTCATTGTTTTTAAACAGAAATGTGCACTCACGCTCTGCTGGAAGACCCACCATCAACCTCTTACGTGAGCAAGGTATTTAGGCTCCTGAGAGAAATGTGCCTGCTGTTTACATTGACAATTCTAGTCCATCTTCTCATAGAGCAAGCCATGTTCTAATCTGATTTCTTAAATGGAAAGGCAGGGGCAAAAGTGGAAGTGGAAATCATGTAAGGTAATTTTGCAAGGGAAAGCTATTATTTGCAAGGTTTTCAGTGCAAAAATTATGGTATTTATCAAGCAAGGATAAAGTGAATGAAAAATTGAATTAGAGAATTTGTGTGTCTTTATCCGCCCAGTCAACTGATTAATGAAGTAATGGAAAAACAAGACAAAGAAGGACAATTACACAGCAGTCACAATGGGTCGCCATTTTATATATTTTCTGGCTGCTGCTTCAGAAGATGGTATCATGCAGATTATGTCCATTGTACAAAAAGTGCACTGTCATTTACACCAGTTCCTAAAGTAAAAATATATCTTATAGCATTACTATTATTATTATTATTTTTATTGAATGGTAACTATGTACATTAATGCACTTCTGGGGTACAGTGTGGTGCTTTCACATACAATTTGAAACATTTCCATCAAACTGGTTAACGTAGCCTTCATGTCATTTTCTTAGTTATTGTGTTAAAATGTTCATATTCTACTCTTAGAAAGATTCACTTGTACCCTCTTATAGCATTATTTTTAAAGTCCCATCCACAGTCAGAAATATACTTTCAGACTTGTATACACACAAAGAAAACTTATAGTCTATGTATGGGTATGTGTATATAGGTATGTATAAAGCACGTATACACAGACATACGTATAAATGCACATTGATTGGTTGTGACCTATTGATTTCATAATGCATTTATGGTTATAACATGCTAGTGATCACATCCACCATTTGAAAAAATACTGTCAAATAATGAAGTAAATCTAACTACCTGCAACTAGAAAAATAGATTTCTCAGTGATGAATACTGAACCCCTCTGGAATCATTGAAGGCATGATTTTTATATAGGCTGAGTAGCTATCCTTTAAGGACTGGAGGGAGTTTTTGTGAGGCCAACTCTGACTACTGAATTTGTGAGTCATTTATTTCTCCATTTTTTCTTTCACTAGCATTTTTGTTAGGAAAATCAATTTGCCTGTTTAAAAGCCTGTTTGGAACAATAATTTGACAGCTCATAAAATTCCAGAAAGGGTCTGATGATGCAGGAAATTTAAATAATTGTTTTTTAAATTGTATTTCAATTTTATTTAATAATTTAATTCTGAAGAAAAGAATTTACTGTATTTTCATCCTACTCTTTGGACAGTGTAACATTTCCATCCTTTAGAAGTCATAGAACTTCATTTTTACATCATAGTGACAAACATTTACTTAAAATTTCAGATCTCCATTGTTTAATTTGATGGGAAAACCTCTTGTTCAGAAAATAAAATGTAACCTGATTTATCTTTTTGTTTTTGAAAGGGGCTGACAAGGTACTGCTGCATGCATTTGATGGCCGGCCATCTGTAGCAATGGAAGGAGTAAGAGATGGGTACTTTTTCTCAATTCCCCCTTCTATCATAAGAAGTAAACAGGTAAATTCTTTCATTAAAACTCATCTATGCATTGTGAAATAACAATTTAAAATATGAACTTTTATTATGTACTGTGATACTATCCAAGTTAAATTACAAAAATTAATCTTAGGTCTCTTCCTCACATATATATAAAAATTAACTCAGAAAATGGATCAAAGACTTGAATGTAAAAACTAAAATAAAACTCTTAAAAAAGGTCTTAATCTTTTTTTTTTTTTTTTT